GAAGGAGAGAGAAGATCCAGAGGAGGAGCAGGACAGATGAGCAGAACTGTTGAACTCAACCAGGTCTGCAGTTTGTGGATTGATTCTTAAATTGGAGACTGGTTCTGTGGATGAAAAATTAAAATGGTTGTTCATGTTCAACACAACAATTTGGAAAACCTTTGGGAACTTTCTAAAAATTGTGTTTTATAAGTTTAGCATTTAATGCTACACAACCTATATGCAAAAGAATTAGAAAAAAATATACATTGCAAGCCAAATAATGGTCTGAGCTTCATTTAAAAGCTGGTTTTCTACAAGGTAGAAACCTAGTCTGAAATGTTTAATATAGCACCTTTAGAACACGTACATTAACAGATTTGGCTCACTATTTGGCAAGAAATCAGACAGTTTTGTCTTTTTCTTATCCTTAATTAATGCATAACAAAGACTTATTAATGGTTTATAAATTGTTTACAGATAAATTAATAACCTATCTATAAACTATTTAGAAGCCGTCTTTAAGGTGAGCCTTATTGTAAAGTGGTACCATTTAAAGATTTTCATCAAATTGAACTGAAATCATTTTTTCCATTTAAACTGATGTATTAGATCAGTGATTACATCAAATTTCAGTATTTTTCTTAGCAAGTAGTCATCTACATACTTGGAAAACATGAATAATTGAAAATGAATAACTGATATCTTCAGTGGTGTTATCCAGTGGTGTACTGTGATGGGAATTTGGCTGCCCTGAGTTTGTCTCTTAAGGAACATTGCAATTTAAAACAAAGCTGTTAGACCTGCAACAACAGAAAACAGGTCTAAAGCCTACCACTTAATAATCACTGAATTCATCTTTTAAATTGTAATTTTTTTTAGTAAAAATATTTCTTGGACCTACTAAGAACAGACACAGATAAACGCTGAGATGTTTGATATCTCAYAGTTTTGCTGTTAAAGGCCTGACAGKTGTAGTTTCCACTCTGACTTGTCTGAACATTCATCAGTCTGAGTTCTGGTCCAGAACCAGGCAGCAGGTCTTCATTCAGAAACCATTTAAACTCAGCAGYAGGTTTAGATTCAGCCGAGCAGCTCAGASTGATGTCTGATCCTTCTTTGTGATGTTCTTCTGTTGGAGACACATTTAATTGGATATTTTGTGGGCCATCTGAGAGAAAAGAAAACAGTAGTGTTATATTGGTTTGTTGAAAAAATACATGGAGAAATATAGTTTTGTTCATATTATGRTATTTCTACTAGTAAACATGGATAAATACCGTAGCTGGATGCAAAGTTAAAAAATCTACTTGGCTCTATGTTATATAATAAGACTTTAAACAACTGTAATGTGTGAAGAAAGTCTAATTATGTGATATTTTGCTGCTTGTGGTTAATTGAATTTATGTAGTGCTATTAGGATGCATCTATCAGCTGTGTGTTTTGGTTATTTTTTTTATTTGTTCTTTGTGTTTTAGTTCCTTTGTTTCTTTTTCTTCTGTGCTCTCCTGTGCAATTTCTCATTTCCTCTCTCAGTCTGCTTCCTGTCTGTCATTCAATCAGCTACCCTCACCTGTTGTCAACTCCCCAATCAGCCCAGCTGCTTTCCATGTTCTCATCAGCCCTTACTCTATATTCGTTTCTCTGCTTCAACTCCTCAATTAAACATTCCCTTGTCTTCCCTTGTGTACTACTGTGTCTTCAATATTTTCACCATGCCAGCCTTTGTTTTTCATTTTGGAAATAGTTTCTTTCTTTGAGTTTTGTAGTCTGTCTGCTTATGGGTCCTGCCACTCACAAATCTCACACAGCATCAAATAAAGC